CAGAGGATAGACAGACTCAGACTTAGCAACAAGAATAGCGGCGTAGTCGAGACGACAGTGAGCAGCAAAGTCGACAAGCTCAGCAACTAAGGCAGACGCAGCAGTGGACTCAAAGGAAGGGTCAGTGACAACAGTAGCCAGGAGACGCGTGACAGTAGGACTAGATGCACGATAGGAGTCGGACTCTGGGTCAGTAAGAGCTGGAAGAGAGGACGCAAGAGGAGACGGCAGAGGGACACGGTGTGGAGCAGTGGAAGGACGAAGCACCATCTAGTGTGTGCCTGGGACAGCAGGAGGACGCTGACGTGAAACACGATGACCAGTGCGAACAGCACGAACAGGCGACGCACGACGAGACTCAGGCGACGCAGGACGAGACTCAGGCTCACGACGCTCCGTAAGACCTCCTGTCGGACCAGTGTAGGGAGAAGGACTAGGGAGTGGCGAGGCAGGCTGTAACTGTGACTGCGAGTGGACAGGCAGAGGACAATCTAAAGGGGGAGTAGGACCAGGAGCAGGCGGGAGACCAAGAACCTGCTGAAGGAGCGGAACGAAGTACGGCCGCGGCCGCGCAGCACCTCCAGAACCAGCAGAGACACCACCAGCACCCTCAGCTCCAGGGTCTCCAGTGTCAACATATATTTTATATGTGTTGTTTTGGTTAGTCTAGGTGTTACTTTTCTACTTCCTTGCATGATTAGGGTTTGCTATATCTAGGGTTGTACTTCTTATTTTCTATCAATTCATTCTTATCGTAACATGGTACAGAGCTAGGTTTCCCTTAGGCGATTTTTCCCCTAGGCGATTTTTCTCTCGATAGTCTATGGGCCCACCACCCGCGCGCCTTGTAGCGACCCGTAGCCCGAAGCGCCCTGCCCCGTAGAGCCCGAGTAGGCCGCGCCCCCCGTCGCCATCGCGCGTCACCCGTTTCTGCCCTGCGCCCCACCCGTTTTTTGCCGTGCGTCACTCGTTTTCTGCCCCGCGCCCCACTCGTTTTACCCCGCGCATTTCCCCCCAGCCCTCTAGCGCACAGCAGACGAACGCGCGTAGCTGCGCGCGCAGCCTTAGTCGCATCCGCAGCTTCGCGCTAGTACGTCGCGGCCACGCGCACCTGCAGCCCACCGTCTAAACCGCCCCCCAGACCTGAAAACCCGCCAATACAGACCTGAAATCCGCGGCCGAACCTGGAAACCCACAGCCCCAGACCTGAAAACCGCCGCCCCAGACCTGACAACTACCGCCCCACCTGGAAACCTGCTGCCCCACCCGTTCCAGGCACCTCACCCGGAATCAGCCGCCCCACACAGTCCTCTCCACCGCATTGAACCTCACAGAACCGCACAGAACTGCACATAACCGCACAGAACCGCACAGAACCGCTGCCTCACCCGTAGCCCGCTGCCTTAACCGCTTCCCCACCTGAAACCTGCCTCCCCACGAGCTGCCACACCCGCCACCAGTAGCCCCAGCCGATCACACTGCCGCCAGCAACACCAGCAGCAGCATAGGCTGCCCCCAGCGCACCAGTAGCAGCTAAGGCTGCCCCCAGCAGAGCCAGAAGCAGCATAGGCTGCCCCCAGCGAACCAGCAGCAGCTTATGCAACTGCCAGCGCACTAGCAACAGCATTGGCTGCCCCCTGGAGAACCAGTAGCAGCATAGGCTGCCCCCAGCGCACCAGCAGCACCTTAGGCTACCAACAGCGCACCAGCAGCAGCTTTGCTTCCCCCTTGGAGAACCAGTAGCAGCCTAGGCTGCCCCTCAGCACAACCAGAAGCAGCACAGGCTGCCCCCAGCGCACCAGCAGTAGCATTGTCTGCCCCCAGCAAAACCAGTAGCAGCTAAGGCTGCCCCCAGCGAACCAGCAGCAGCATAGGCTGCCCCCAGCGCACTAGCAGCAGCTTAGGCAACTGCCAGCGCACTAGCAGCAGCATTGGCTGCCCCCTGGAGAACCAGTAGCAGCATAGGCTGCCCCCAGCGCACCAGCAGCACCTTAGGCTACCGCCAGCGCACCAGCAGCAGATTTGCCTGCCCTCTGGAGAACCAGTAGCAGCCTAGGCTGCCCCTCAGCAGAACCAGAAGCAGCATAGGCTTGCCCCAGCGCACCAACAGCAGCATTGTCTGCCCCCAGCAAAACCAGTAGCAACTAAGGCTGCCCCCAGCAAACCAGCAGCAGCATAGGCTGCCCCCAGCGCACTAGCAACAGCTTAGGCTGTCAACAGGAGTGTTGTGAGGCCCCGTCCTCACTTGGGCGGAGCCGACTACGTGGTCGGATGCGCGGGGGTTGCAGCCGACCTGTAGCAGTGGGCACGGGGGCCATTGCAGGGGCGCCGACTGGAGGGCGCCTGGCTGGAGGGCGCCGAGCAGAAGGACGCCGCCCTGGACGCCTGGTTGGCGTCCCGGACGCCTGGACGGCGTCCTGGGAAGCTGGACGCCGACCTGGGCGCTTGGTCGGCGTCGTGGGCGCCTGCACTGCGTCCTGGGGGCCAGGACGCCGACCTGGGCGTCCCGGGGGGCCCGGACGCCGACCTGGGAGTCTGGACGGCGTCCTGTGAGGTTGGACGCCGCCCTGAAGGTCTGCACGGCGTCCTATGGCTTTTGGACGCCGACCTGGGGGTTTGGACGGTGTCCTGGGCGCATGGACGCCGGACTGGGGACGCCGGGCATGCGTGGCCGGCTACGGACCGTGCTGGTCGGCCAGGCGTGGTTGCCCGGTCGACCGGGATACTCGGACGACGTGCGCGAGTGTCGCCGGGGTGGAGTCTGCGAAGCCGACCTCGGGGGTGGTATCCCGAGGTCGACGTGGCTGGTGGGCACAGTCGCTGGCGTGGAGTCTGCCAGGCGTCTGCGCTGTGCTCGTGACTAGGTGTGGAGCGTCAACCAGCCGCGCGCACCTGCGAAGCAGGTGCACCGTTGTCCTGCGGGTGCAATGCTGTGCAGCCGACTTGCTGCAGCATTGGCACACCGTGGACATGCAACGTTGGCGCGTCGCTACTCTGCAACGCTGGAGCGGTGCGAGCGCTGCTGCGCTGGAGCGCGGTCGACCATGCTGCGCTGGAGGTCGACCAGCAGCCTAGCTAGCTCTGATGTAGTCTGTGTTGCCAATGTTGTACCAAACATTGTTGTCAACCTTTCTTAGTGAAACTCTTGCCAAATTGCCCCGTGAATGTGCAAGCAGGAAACACACTAGGAAAACGACTAAGGAACAGAGAACGCAGAGATCACACGAGCACCCGTGCCTAGCGCGTAGTCTAGCTCCCGTTGCAGCAGTTATCTCCGCTGGTGCGGTGAGCGTGGACGACACCGCGACGAAGTTCAGTCTAGCCGACTTTGCACTTACCGATCGTGTTCGTAGTCCGGCCAGCCGTGCAGTCACTAGCGTGCGCGTAGGTGACGCCGAGGTGATGGAAACCCTGGAGGCACAGCTGAAGGATGCAAGGAGACGCCATGAGGCCCAGGAGTACGGGGCATTACCCTGGGCAGTCGTCGAGGCAGGACTCCGCCACATGTGGGCGGCGGAGCACCCCCCTTCTCGGCCTGCCTCTCCTTGACCGGTGAACAACGACGGCGGCGTCGACGTGGGCGTCAACACCGGTGGAGGCCAGGTCGGCAGCAGTGCGGGAGGCACGTCGAGGCAACGAGGTGTGATACACGCCGGTGAAGCTGGCGGCGTTCAGGCACGATGGATGCAGTCATCGGCGGCTGCAGGCTCCTCGCAGGGCGACGCCGGTGGGCGTCAAAGCGGACTGTCGCCGATGTCGGCGACCCAGGTGACGGCGGGCGGGATTGCACCGAGCTACGGCTACTTCAAGTTTGCGCAGGACAGGATCTTGGTCACCCCGCCGCTCGTCGGTCGACAGGACATCCTCACGTGGAAGGAAGCCATCGAGCCCCAGCTGGAGATGGCCGGGCTGATCAACTTTGCTCGGGGAACGGTGACTGTTAACGGGAATGGAGTGTTGGCCCCGCCCTCGCTTGGGCAACGCCGACGATTTGGTCGGATGTACGGGAGTAGCAGCCGACTGATCACAGTGGGAGAGCTGCTCGACAGGCTTCGTCGAGCTGCAGGGAACTGCTGTGGTGTTGCTGTCGACCAGGGAGCTCGACAGCTGCAACTGACTGGTCTGGGCGACGGGTGGGACGTTGACCAGGACCTGCTGCTCGACGGGGAGGCCTCCGGAGCATCCCGTCGACCTGCTGCTCGACGGGGAGGTCTCCGGAGCATACCGTCGACCTGCTGTTCGACCGGGAGGTCTCCGGAGCATCCCGTCGACCTGCAGTTCGACCGGGAGGTCGACGGGGCAGTCGGAAGGGATCTGTCGACCAGGGGGTAGCTCGACGGGAGTTGTGGTCAACCGGAAGCACCTGGTGGTCGACCGGGCCGATCGGGTAACCTGCTCGACGAGTTCTGCGGAGGCACGCGAACGTCGTCGAAGTCGCGATGGCGTAGGCGACCGCGGGCTGGTATTTCGAAGTCGATGTGGCTCGTCAGGCGCAGACAACAGCCGACGGATGCCCAACGAGGCAAGTCGGGCCAATCGTCTACGCGCACCTGCGAGCGTGCGCACTGCTGTGTTCTACGGGGCAACGCTGGACAGCCGCTCTGCTGCAACGCTGGCACGCCGTCGACCTGCTCTGTTGGCAGGGCGCCCTTCTGCAGTGCTGGCACGACTCCTCTACGTAACGCTGACAGGCGGTCGACCGAGCTGTGCTGGCGGTCGACTAGGCTAGCTGCAGGGTTGCTAGGTGCCTGATGTAGTCATTGTTGCGATTGCTTGTTAAATCATTCTGTAATTCTAACTTTGCTAGTGGAAACTCTTGCCGATTTCTCCCGTGAATGCGCAAGCACTAAGGAACCAAGCAAAGCTACGATCACCTTTAGTAGTTTGTGCCAACTCCCGTAGTCTAGCTCACTACCGTTGTAGAGTGGTTCTCCTCAGTGACGACGCCGGACGACCCCGACTTGCGCGCGGAGTTTCGTGCCGTGCAGCTGTTGACCTTCATGGTCATCTCGCGGTGCTGCTCGCCGGGCGTGCAGATCGCCTTGAAGTGGTGTCGGGAGTACCTCGACGCCGGTCACCGGGCGTGGCACTTCATCGAGTCGACCTACCAAGTCACCGACGACCTGTACATCTCCCAGCTGGAAGGACAGCTGACGCACCTGCGTATGGGCGACGAGGAGACAGCGACCGACTACTGCAACCGGGCCCGGCGAATTCTCGCCACCATCAGGATGGCCGGCGCGCAGTACTCCACGGCGTCGTACGTCACCCACGTCATGCAGGGGCTCTCAAGCAGCTACAACCTCCTGAAGTGGGTGTCCATGGCGCCGAGCACGAAGATGACGCTCAACGAGGATAACCTCACCTCGTATATCCTGCAGGACGAGGCGATGCAGGAGGCCGAGCGATCCCAGGAGCTATTGGCGCAGGCCAACTTCGTAGCCCCGACGAAGCAGGGAGGCCGACCAGGGCAGCGTGGGCAGTCGAGCGGCGGCAGTAGCGGTGGCTGGAAGCTGAGCAAGGACGCCGACAAGAAGAAGTCGGCTAAGGATAGTGGTCGTGGAGGCGGAGGCCGACGCCGGGAATGCTGGCTGTGCGGCGACCCCGACCACCTCTCCTTCGAGTGCCCCGACCGCAGTGACTCCGATGACGACGACGCCAAGGGAGGCGGAGGAAGGTCTGGTAGCCGCCATCCTCGTCGAGGTGGAAGTAAGCCGCGCAAGAAGAAGCAGTCGACCAAGTCGACCTCGGCGAAGGACGCCGACTCCTCTGTTGGCGGCAAGGCGAAGGACGACAAGATGGCGTCGTGCTCGTTGGTCGGCGTCGTGGAGCTGACCGTATCGCTGGCGCCGGAGGCCGGGGAGGACTTCCGGGCGGTGGCGGCAGCTGTGCAGGCGAACCCGGCGGTGGTCCTGCTCGACAGTGGTTACTCGCAACACCTGATGGGCACGAAGGAGGCCTTCGTCAACCTGGGGCCGAGCGGCGACGTGAAGCACGTGCGCGGCTTCAATGGGGCGCTGCAGGACGTTCGGGGTCGCGGCACTGTCGCTCTACAAGGGGAGGCCGGGAAGCAGGTGCTCATCCTCGACGTGTTGTACGTCCCCGGCGTCCGGGCAAACCTGCTTTCAGCCGGCCAGCTGAAGGAGCACGGCGTGAAGCTGCAGGAGGACGGTGACGGGATGATCCTTGTCTCTGCGGCGGGGGAGGTGCTCGGTCGAGCGACGTACACCGGGCGTGTCCTCTGCACCGACCTGCGCCCCTGCTCGGCTACGCCGACGACGCCTACCACGGAGGTGGTGGCCCTGCGCGCGATTGTCTCGGCGACGAAGGCCACGCCGGACAGGATGCACGCCAGGCTTGCGCAAGTCGGCATGGACACCATCCGGAGCTCGGCGAAGCACGAGGTCGCCACCGGGCTGGACCTCAAGTCGGCGTCCGACGCCAACTCCCCGTGTGTTTCGTGCGTCAGCGGGAAGCTGACGAGGCACACCTTCCCCGACAAGGGCTCCGACGCCGACGACGTGCTGGCCGTTGTGCACATCGACCTGTGCGGGCCATTCCGCGTGGCTGCCAAGGATGGCAGCCTGTAATTCTTGCTGCTGAAGGACCGCAAGACCCGCTACGTGTGGGTGCGGCCGGTCGCCAAGAAGTCCGATGCGTTGCGGGAGTTCGTGCAGTGGCTGGCGGCGGCTGAGAGGCAGACGAAGCGGTCGGTGTTGATGTTGCGTTCTGACCAGGGAAAGGAGTTCCTCGGGAAGCAGTTCACCGACTTCGTGAACGGCAAGGGGATCGTTCACGACCTAACCTGCCCATACACCCCGCAGCAGAACGGCATGGCGGAGCGGGAGATGAGGATGGTGGTGGAATCGGTGCGGACGATGCTGCTGCACATGGGCGTGCAGCACCACTGGTGGCACCTCGCTCTCCGGCAGGCCGTCTGGGTCCGCAACTGCCTTGAGAGGTCGGCGCTACCGCCGGGGACGACGCCGTACCAACTGCTGACCAGGAAGAAGCCCGACTTGTCGCTAGCACGGGTGTGGGGCTGCATGGCGCAGTTCTTGGTCCCCAAGCAGCAGCGTGGTGGGAAGCTGCAGGCGAAGGCACGGTGGGGCCTTCACCTTGGCGTGTCGGAGGAGAGCAAGGGCTGGGAGCTCCTCGACATCGCCGACAACCGGGTGGTCACCACGCCAGACGTGGTGTTCTACGAGAGCATGTCGCTGGATGTGTGGAAGTCGGCGCACGGACCGGCGTCAGGGCGGATGCCGGTTCACCCGCCTACGGACACCTCGGCTGAGACGCTGCCTCTGCTCGCCGAGGTCGGTGAGCTTGCTGGTGAGGACGCCGGGGACGTCCCCGCTCCCTGTACTCCACCTGCCACTCCCCCTGTTGCCGACTTGCCTAGGCTGGCCTCGACGTCGGCCTCCGGTGATGAGGGGAGACGTGGGGCGTCACCTATGGCGCCGGCTTCAAGCATCGCCGGTGGCCTACGTGATGCCATGAAGCAGGTGAGGCCGGTGAAGGAGACGCCGCCTGCAGAACAGCAGCTGACAGGGGAGCAGGCAGCAGTGACGCCGACCAAGGAGCATTCGGCGACCGGGCAGTCGGCAGGGGAGCCGACCACAGGGGAGCAGTCGGCTGGGACGCCGACTAAGGTGCAGCAGGACGCCGACGACAGCGATGACGGCGACGGTGAAGGGGACACCGGAGAGGTCCAGCCGGGACCACGGCGTACATGCAGAATTCGGAGGCCGCCTGAATTCTTCGTCCCCGCTGCCTTCACCACGGTGTACGACGTGGAGGATGATGACGACGACCTGCTGTACGACGACGCCGAGGAGGATGAGGAGTTTTCGGAGCTCGACCCCGACCTGCTGGCCGACCACGAGCACCACTGGAACATCTCGATGATGACGGTGAAGGAGGCATTGGCGAGCTGGAAGGGCCCGGCGGTAAAGGCTGCCTTGGAGGAGGAGATTCGCAGCCTCCTCAACATGGGAATGTGGGAGCTGGTCGAACGCCCGCCGGGAGTGAACATCATGAAGAACCGGTGGGTGCTGACGACGAAGTACCACATCGACGACACCGTCGAGCGAGAGAAGGCGAGGTTGGTCGTGAAGGGCTACACGCAGGTGTACGGCGCCGACTACGACGAGACGTTCGCGCCGGTGGGCAGCTACGTCACGCTGCGGATCTTCCTCGGCATCGTCGCCGTGCTCAACCTCAACCTCATGCAGCTCGACATGAAGAACGCCTTCCTCCAAAGCAAGCTCGACCGGATGCTCTACATGTCCCAATCGGACTACTTCAACAACGGAACCGGCCGGGTGTGCAAGCTGCTGAAGAGCCTGTACTGCCTGAAGCTGTCGCCGCTCTTGTGGTACTTGGCGCTCAACGACGTGCTGGTCGGCGCCGGGTGGAAGAAGAGCCAGGTCGACGAGGCTCTGTACTTCAAGGTCGGCGACGACGGAGTGGCCTGCTGGGTGCTGGTCTACGTCGACGACCTGCTCGCCGCCAGCAGCAGCGCCGTGATGCTGAAGGAGCTGAAGGAGCTGCTGGAAGCCGCCTTCGAGCTGCGCGAGATCTCGCCGGTGCAGAAGTATCTCGGCCTGGAGATCGTACACGACAGGTCGGCGGGGAAGCTGTGGCTGCACCAGCAGGGCTACGCCGACAAGCTGCATAGGCGCTTCATCGACGAGGAGCAGACCGGGCGCACCCCGAAGACGCCGGTCTCGGTCGACGCCTACGCCGAGCTTACCTTCGACGACGAGGTGGCGCAGGAACGCCAGGAGGAGGAGTACCGGCAGAAGGTCGGCTCGCTGCAGTTCGCGGCGACCACGACAAGGCCGGATGTCGCCTTCGCCTGCAGCAAGCTGGGGAGCGGCCTCACGGTGAGGAGCGACCAGCATTGGCGCGAGGTCGACTGCTGCCTCGCCTACCTCACCAACACGCGCAACACCGCCTTGGAGTTCGGCGGTGGACCTGAGTCGCTGGAGCTGGTCGGCTACGTGGACGCCGACGACGCCGGTGACAAGCAGAACAGGACGAGCACGGGCGGCTACGTGTTCGTCTACGGAGGGGCCGCAGTCTCCTGGTCGAGCCAGCGCATCAAGTGCGCGACGCTGTTGTCGACCGAGTCGGAGTACGTGGCGGCCACCGAAGCCGGGAAGGAGGGACGCCGACTTCGCTTCCTCCTCGCCGAGTTCCGGCAGCTGGATGCCGGGAAGCCGACTGTCCTGCGAGTGGACAACAAGTCGGCCATCACGGTCGCCGAGGGCATGGGGTTGACGGGCAACCTCAAGCACATGGAGCGGCGACAGGCCTGGCTGCAGCACATGGTGAAGCGCGGGAAGTTCTCGCTGTAGTACATCCCGACCGCTGAGCAGCCGGCCGACTTCCTGACGAAGGAACTGCACTATCTGGCCTTCAACCGGTTCTCCGTCGCAATCGGCCAAGTGCGCTTGGCCGATGTGGGCGACGGCGACGATGACGTGCAGCAGTAGGTGCCATGCCCTCTTGCATGGCTGGTGCGGTGACCGGCGTGCTGTGTGTTGGGTGCACGCCGACGGGCTATTCTCGGAGTTGTACTGCCGTGTGGGCTGGGGGCCCAAGCGTGAACGCGGCAGGGGAGTGTCAACGGGAGTGTTGTGAGGCCCCGTCCTTGCTTGGGCGGAGCCGACTTCGTGGTCGGATGCGCAGGGGTTGCAGCCGACCTGCAGCAGTGGGCACGGGGGCCACTGCAGGGGCGCCGAGCTGGAGGGCGCCTGGCTGGAGGGCGCCGAGCAGGAGGTCGACGCCTTGGACGCCTGGTTGGCGTCCTGGACGCCTGGACGGCGTCCTGGGAAGCTCGACGCCGACCTGGGCGCCTGGTCGGCGTCGTGGGCGCCTGCACTGCGTCCTGGGGGCCAGGACGCCACCCTGGGCGTCCTGGGGGGCCCGGACGCCGACCTGGGAGTCTGGACGGCGTCCTGTGAGGCTAGACGCCGCCCTGGAGGTCTGCACGGCGTCCTGGCACTAGCAGCAGCTTAGGCAACTGCCAGCGCATTAGCAACAGCATTGGCTGCCCCCTGGAGAACCAGTAGCAGCATAGGCTGCCCCCAGCGCACCAGCAACACCTTAGGCTACCGCCAGCGCACCAGCAGCAGCTTTGCCTGCCCCTGGAGAACCAGTAGCAGCCTAGGCTGCCCCTCAGCAGAACCAGAAGCAGCACAGGCTGCCCCTAGCGCACCAGCAGTAGCATTGTCTGCCCCTAGCAAAACCAATAGCAGCTAAGGCTACCCCCAGCGAACCAGCAGCAGCATAGGCTGCCCCCAGCGCACTAGCAGCAGCTTAGGCAACTGCCAAGCGCACTAGCAGCAGCATTGGCTGCCCCCTGGAGAACCAGTAGCAACATTGGCTGCCCCGTGGAGAACCAGCAGCAGCATAGGCTCACATGGCATGTACTAGGGTTCTACAGCAGCAGGGCCAGCCGCAGCACTCCCGTCAGTGGGGGCCTGCGGGTCCAAAGTGTGGCGCCCCCAGTAGTCGCTCAACTAGCAGTGGGCGAGACGTCGGCCTCTGCGGGTACCGGGCCCTGACATGCCCTGGTGCTGGTACTACCTGCTGGAGTCCTGACCACACCGCGTCCAGCTGCTACCGTCGACTCGATGACCTCCACCGTGAGCGTTTTGGTCCTCACGCTATTACACCGCACTGGCCTTCACGCCTTCGCTAGCGCACTACTGCACCAGTTGAGTCTCACCTGCCTGGTCTAGGACCTTTTCCGGCTGCACGAGTAGAGACCTGAGTTTCCAGTCTTGGTGCGTGTGTTGTTTCCAGTCCAGGCGCCTCTGAGGGTCTTTGTGTAGGAGCTGCAGCTACCACTAGTCTAGCACTAGCCTTTGTAGCTGGTTCGGGTGCGACCCCACAGACTGCACAACTTTCCTTCACCCTAGATTCTGGAGCGTCCAGCTGTTTCTTTCGCGACTGTACCGACCTCACACCACTACGCACTCCAGTCCCTATCGCCTTGGCTGACCCCTCTGTGGGACGTGTAGTTGCTAGCAGCACCACCACTCTTCCGTGTCCGGCGGCTCCCTCAGGTTTTCTTACAGGTTACTACACCCCCTTGTTCTCTAGGAACCTGGTGGGTGTCATTCACCTTC